GGGGGTGTAAACTGTGCCAGGTCATACTTCACGCGTGCACGTAGTGTATTTGAGTTAATGAGCCACTATTGGTTTTGCATCATACTCAAAGTGTGATAATGAGCAAGCTGTTTGGAGTGTCAAACAAGTAGAGCTCTAGATGACGCGAAGAAGTGGTTTAGAGCTCAGAAAAGGGAAACTTCACCTTTTGTAACCGAAGACTCCTCTTATTTATTTGTGTGTATGTGTGTGTGTGTGTGTGTGTGTGTGTGTGTGTGTGTGTGTGTGTGTGTGTGAGTATGCAAGGGGTATGTGTGTGTGTGTTTGTGTGTGTGTGTGGCGTGTGCATGAATATTGTTCGTACATGCATTTATGTAAAGTGCCTAGAGCTGTGTTTACACGGGAGTGGGCACTATAGAAAAGATCTTCATTATTATTATTATTATTATAATGAAGTTGATAATGATCTTTTTTTGTTTCCTTAATAGGCCTGGTGGACTCCACGAAGAAACCTTCGAGAGAGAGCGAGGTTCTTTTCGGCTCCATTGTCAATATGCTTAGAGGCACCTCCACTCGTCCAAATAATTCCATTCGAATCGCCATTGTTCCTGGACATTCAAACATATGTTTGACATCCTCCTTTTCATGGCCGCATCTTCGGCAGGGAGGGCTGAGCTCTTCATTTAAAAAGTTCTTATACCATCTCAAGCTCCAATGATGGTCCGACCGCAGTCTCGCTAGCTCAACCTGGTCCCAGGGACATGATGATGATGATGATGATGATGATGATGATGATGATGATGATGATGATGATGATGATGATGATGATGATGATGATGATGAAAATTATGATGATGAAATCTCAAAAGTTAAATCCCATTATATCATCATAACTGAAGAATAAGCATTAGATATAGTAACTTCACACTTAATCTTTCCCATTACACATACATTTTGAATTTTGAGGTACTAAGGTAAATCTTCCGATAAGGCAAAAAATGATAAGTTAAGAATAAGAATATGTACCTTCACAACTGATATGAACTTTTCAGGAGCAGACCGCCATGATTTCTCCCTAAGCTCAGACTGGAGACAGGGAACAAGACAAAATTCACACTTTGAGGTTAAATCAGGTAAAAGAATACAAGTAAAACTGCTAGAATACAAATAGTGGCACAGATTTAATTGTACACTATTTTAAAATACAAACACAAATTAAAAATGCAGTTCAGCCCAAAGAACTAAAATATTATTAGAAAAACTTATTCCACGCCATTAAAAGGAAATTGGAAAGCTTTTAAGGTAATATGGCTTTGATATTGAAAGAAATACGTTTGGTTTGCCGTAGAAACGGATAAATAAATGGCTTTATTATTTTTGTTGCTAAGTACAATCAAACGTTTCCAGGACAACCAACCACTGTCGAGGAGAAAAGTAGTCATCTTAGTAGGTGGACCTATTAGACAATGCCATTATAATGCATATTAAAAAAAACACAATGCAAAAAGTGGGAAGTAGTTGTTTGTACAGGTGATTGTCTTGGACATGTGATCGTTAGAGCATGTTCGACTGTGTACACCAAGTGGATTCAAACATTTTTTAATGATCATAATAATTGCATTTATATAGAGCATATCAACACTGTGCAGCATGTTCTATGCACTTTACAACTGCCATTACTCCCAGCACACCCTAGAACACTCAGAAACAATCTCGGCTTTTTGGGAAGCATACAGTGTAAGCTGCGGATTTCACTTGCCCAAACACTAACAAACTGAAAAGATCTTTCCCTGCCTGTAGCTGGGTACCCATCTCCACCTGAGTGAAGTGAGCAAAATTCAAGTAATTTCCCCTAGGACACAACATTGGACCCCTTACAGGATTCAAACCCATGACCTTTAGGTTGTGAGTTGGAGAGCCTAACCACTGGACCACATATGCCCTTTGTATTTCAATGTAGGAAGCAAAATACCCAAAGTCAACTGTCTTTTATTATTTGACAACAAAGAGTAACATTAATGTGCTGCATCTTTCCATACAAGGAAGGAGAAGAAAAGGAAGACAGAAAAAGAGATGGAAAGACAACATAACAGATTGGGCAGGTCTAAAATTGGGTGAAGCCCTTCGAAACGCTGAAAATAGAGAGGGATGGAGTAAAGTGGTTGTCTGATCATCCTTGGTGCCCCAACGGTCATCTAAGACTAACACTAAAGGATACAGGTACCTCTCGGAGACACCTGTGGCCATGTCGAGCCAGGAAGTCCGTGACCATCTCAGTCAGCTCGGGATGTCCTTGGAGAAGAGGCAAACACTCCTTGTGATGTAGAAGAAGATAGATTCAGAACAAAGGTTCTCTTCCTCCTCCTCCTCTCTCTTCCTCCTTCTCTCTCTCTCTCTCTCTCTCTCTCTCTCTCTCTCTCTCTCTCTCTCTCTCTCTCTCTCTCTCTCTCTCTCTCTCTCTCTCTCTCTCTCTCTCCCTTCATCTCTCTCTCCCAGTCTGTCTGTCTGTCTGTCTGTCTGTCTGTCTGTCTGACTGTCTGTCTGTCTGTCTCTGTCTCTGTCTCTCTCTCTCTCTCTCTCTCTCCCTCTCTCTCTCTCTATCTCTCTCTCTCCCCCCCACTCTGCCTATCTCTATCATCTCTGTCTGTCTGTCTGTCTCTCTCTCTCTATCTGTCTCTGTCTTTGTCTTTCTGTCTGTCTGTCTGTCTCTCTCTCTCTATCTGTCTCTGTCTTTGTCTCTCTCTCCCTCTCTCTCTCCTTCTTTCTCTCTCTCACTTCCCTCTCTTTCAACTGAGGATGTTTTAAATATGATTTTGAAAGAAACAAATGATGAAAAACAACTATTAAATCAAAGAAAGTATTGTCCAGCAAACATATAAATAATATTATCATTTTTTGTACAACAAAATAGTTAATCAGTCAGAATTATAACCATTGTCACGACATACTCACAGTATCAGGAGTGTTCAAAACTTTCTCTGTCATGGATGGGCCCAGCTTGGCAATTTTTCTGGCAATGTTCTGAAAGAGTAAATCACGGTATAGACAGAACTGTAAAAGAATTTTAAAGATACATATACTAGATCTATATATATAAGTCACGATGCGGTGGAATCAAGTACTTGTCAATTTTTGGGCAAGTGGAGATATTGGTATCATCTTAAAGCTAGTTCATATCTCTTGCTTTCTATTAAAAATTATCCATTCATCTTGGATACAAGTCGAGATATTGGCGATTAAAAGAGATGAGGGTTGCCTGGTTTCGGAGGTTAAATTAGCAAGAAAACGGTTGCCAAAGTTGAGTTATTTCCTTAGCTAGAGAGTCCGTGGAAACTGAAAATTTACATTTTTTGTGACTTTAATCAATGGTTTTCAGTATGATCAACACACAAATGTTGTCTTTAAGGGGAAACGTACACTCCAGGAAAAATTTCCTAAACAAATGACTTTTATTCACTTTCATGTAATTGTGCAAGAAGTTCATAGGTAAATAGGATGTACTAAGAGCGAATTTGTTGATTTTTTCTGAAAACTGAGTCTCTGTGGCGGCCATCTTGGATTTTCAAACCAGTTTCTTAGTGCAGAAAGATTTCATAGTTAATATTGAATTATCAGCCTGAAATTTGGCACACAAGTACAAACCTATATGGACTGGGGATCCATGTGAGGATTTTGACCAATCTTTAAAACTAAAAAAGTGAGCCCAAAGTCAATGGACCCCCAAGAGTCAGTTGATGAAATTTTGGAGTACATATTACAAAAAATTTGAATATTTCCACAAGTTACCAATATTTCCCAATTCCCCCTATTAGATCCCTAGAATAGATCTTGAAGCACCTGTACACCAAATTTGAAGCTTCTAGCTTCAGTAGATTTCGAAAACTCCTTGCTCCAAGGAGGTCACATATGTCAAAAAGTAGATTTTGAGAAAAACAGAAAAAACAGGGATTTTAAAAAAATTTTTAGTGCAGTTTGCACTTTTCAAACGCCCTTTTAGGTCATTTAGAGCGGTTTTTTTCTATAGTTTCATCATTGAGACCTGATAGAACAGATGTCAAAGGATGTTTTGCAGCAAAAAACAAAAGATGGATAGTTCGAAAAATTTTATCGACATTGTCTGGGATCGCCGACCTGGGTCTTTCCTTAATGGACATGATTCTATAAAAATTCCTAAACCTGAGGGGAAAATGCCAGTTTCTTCGCTTTCATTATCTTGACGAGAGCCTGATTTCACCATGATGCCTCGCATATTGTTGGCAAGATTGTCAACTATTCTAAAGTTTAGTAAGGGTTTTACAGCGCTCGCAACTGCATAAAGTCAACTGTTCTAAGCCTAGAAAGTAAAATTGTTCAGAAGAGGGGAAAAAAAGAAATGTTGAACTTCTAAAAACATTGTATTTCCATTATTCTCCATTGTGTGTCTTTTTCCCCCCAACAACACTTAGAATTTGAAATTTGAGGAAAAAAATCTCTTGAGTGCTTCCAACCAATGCCACAGATCACTTTTCATGTCTCTTTGTGTACATTCAATTTCAAAACAAGGAGAAAGAGGAAAGCGTTTATACTTTCCCTAAACACATGCTCACATTCATCCACCAAACATGTAGATTCACTATGATGTCCAATCTCGTTATATTCCTCCAGTCTTTTAAAATTTCCCAAAGACAGAGAAAGAGCGGTTGGCGGGTGCTCTGGTGTAGTTTGCTCCTTCTTTCCTACAAACACCTGTCCTCCTGATCTCTTCTTCTTTTTTGCGTTTGTTACTCTCTTGTAACACCTCTAATATTTGGCATTTAGACGACCACATTGTGCTTCAAGTGCCATAAAACTCTTATTTTAACTTTTAAAAAACAGAGACCTTAGGAAGAGACTAGTACAAATTACATTAAATATAGATCTAGTAACAATTACCAACTTCCACAACAAAATGAAGAAACAAATACTCAAAATCTGAAATCGGAGATACACCCTCAAGTGTATGTGGCCAGGCCCCACAGACCAGCCGCCATATCCTGCAGCAATTTACTCACTTCACAACCCCAAGAGCACAGACATGGCAACGTGCTACACCACTAGAGAGAAAACTGAGGTAGCCTTGAGACCCTAAAGTGAACTATACAGTTTTGTACACACAACTGGATAGACTGACTGACTTGACAGTCATCGAGAACGAAGAATCATGAAAAAATAATAATAAAAATAATAATAATTATATAATAACAATATCAATAATAACAAGTATAAAAAGAAGAAGAAAAAGATGAAGACGAGGAAGAGAAAGAGGAAGAAGAATAATAACTACAAAAACAAGAGCAAGAACTACTAACTTCGATAGCATGAGGAACTTCAGCACTGTAGACATCCTGACAGTGGGATAGCAGTAATGCAATGTCTCCATAATGCTCCGAGGTCCAGCCTGTAGGCAGATCAGTAAATACACATGTAGGCAGGCCACCCCTTTTGTTTTTAAAAAAGGTGTTTTTAAGCCCCCATCAACACAGTTTAGATCATTTTGGGGGCAGGCTTTGACCCCCCTGTCAGGGCCAACCCGGGCAGAGAGGGATACAATATCCCAGGAGAAAGTCTGTGATATTTGATAGAAATTCTCTCCCCACTATGTAATCGAACTTAGGTCTCCTGCAAGCAACAGCAAAGCGCCTAACCACTACACAACAGATATCAGTAGGTCATGGTTAGCTGTAATAATAATCATAATAATAATAATAATAATAATAATAATAATTTTAAAGGAAAAGCAAAAGAAGGGAAAACCTCAAGTCTCGCTCAAGTCGAGAGTTCACACAACTTTTCCCTCTTTACCCTTCATTTGGCCCCAAATGGAGTCAAAAGGTGCGCTATATGGAGAAGCAGAAATACATTTGGAGTGTCCAGTCTTGGACATTACAATAACACAAGCCTATGGTCCACACTGAGCTCACCACTCGCGTCCCCAGCCATCACCGACAGGAGGATGTTGGCCCAGTTGCCGGAACGTCCGCTGTTGATAAGTGTCCACACCCAGACCTGTACGAACATTTCAACATGTGTTTATTATTTTAAAAAAGGCAAGTTAAACCAAGTCCGATAATGAATGATGAATAGCATTTGTATAGCGCAAATTCCTACTCAACAGCAAGCACTATGCACTTTACAACCTACATTATTACTCCAGCAGACCTGATGACATTCTGAAATAATCTGATCTTCCTGGGAAGCATACAGAGCAAGCTACCATTCTATGGGAGTTAAAAAGCTAATATATTGACAACATCACTTAAAAGTCAAGCAACTGATGAAGGCACTCATGTTATAGAGAAGAATTTACCAGGACAGCGGCTGTAAGCAAATCATTGAACAACTTGGCTTCTACAGAAATACAATTTTTTTTTTTTTAAACTAAAAACAATGCCTCTGTTTGAACCAGGCGCTCCAGTTTTTGGGAGTATGGAGTCGTTCATGTCATCTTAAAGGTTGTTAATTCGTTTTGCTTTTGCTGAGAATAATATCGTCTATTTTAAGTACAAATTCAGATAACAGTGGTTGAAGGAGGTGGGGGTGGCCCAGTGTCAGAGGTAAAATTGGAAAGAAAATGGTCCCCACAGTTTGGTGACTTCCAAAGTTTGAGTGTCCTTGGAAACTGCAAATTTACATTTTTTTTTGTGCCTTTGATGATCAGCAGTTAAAAAAAAAAATTAAAATCAATACAAAAATTATTTTTTTTTTAATGAACATTAAAGGTGTTAAGCCCCCCCCCCTCCCTCCAAGAAAAAAAAAGATTAGTTTTAAAAAATAGCCCAAAAAGCTAAAGAAAAAAAAATGTTTGTTTCTTCGATTCCATTATTTTGAGGAGCATCCGATTTCACCATGCTTCCACACAAATAATATTAAAATATAGACACTGTCAAAGACAACTACTTTTCTCCTGGACAATGGGTGGTTGTCTTGGACAATTTTGACAGTATGTATCCATACGCATATTACCGTTTCATAATCTGTGAGCTGGTTGTCAATACACTGATACAGCTCCACAGAAGAGGTAGATGCCTCTCCCACTCGGTAATCTGGGATCCTTTTTTCCCAGCGAGAAGTGACAGAGCCAGCTTTCGACCACATCTGTAGAAAAAGCATTTTTAAGATTTGAAAAAACTTGATCAATGCAATGACAAAAGCTACTGTGGGCTAGGAAGGTATATTAATAAACTATATCTATTTTATATCACAAGGCGGAGTTGAGTTCATAGAAAGTAAAATAAAATTTAAAAATAAAATATATCTAACCGACCTGAGGTGTCCTTAGCAGAGGTTGATGAGTTTCCCATCCTTGACTGTATTTCTTTCCTTTTCAGTATCTCCAATGTGTGGTTTTATAACGAAAAAGTGCAAACAATGAAATACTAAAAAACACAAAATAAGTACTACTAGAATGTAACCAAAGGAAAGTCTTACCCGCATCATACGAAAGAAGTTGATTGTTCGGGTAAAAACACTACGAGAGCGACCAAAATAGTTCTGGATTTGGTCGACCGTCAGCTCCGGTAGTGTACTGCCGAGTAGACTTATCTCAGCCACATCCTTGCTGACCATCAGCGTGCTCATCAGAATCGTGCTCACCTCCTGAGCAACAACACACACACAGGAAGGAATAGCAGAAGACTCTTACTCATCAACATAATATCATCATTACTCTCCCGATTATTTGTCTCTCCTTCATTCTCTCCCTCCCTCTCTCCTTTCCCTTCCCCCCCCCCCCCCCCAACCCTAAACTTAAACCCTTTATCCCACTTCAACGTGTCACTACATGATTGGGGTTTGTTGGTTTTTGTTGAGTGTGTTTTTTTGTTTTTTTGCTTTTGGTTCGGGGGGGAGGGGGGGTCATAATACTAGGGTTTTGGTTTCTCTGAAAAGAGATACAGTATACTATCACTGAATTACAAATACCAGTTTATTATAAAAGCAGGCTCATTACACCACGTCAGACTACACAAAAGTTAAGTAACCGAAGAATGCACTCACGTTATAAAGCAGAATCTACCAAGTTTATCTAACAACTTGGTCTGTACAGAACTACAATTCTTCTATTATCTTAACTTACAATAGTGCCTCTGTTTCTGCTATTAGTTGCATATCGCTTACACAGTAAAAGAAAACATTAAAAGGATGAGACAAATGTGATTTCTCGCAATTGAAAACAAAAACAGCAGCAATTTGCCAGACATATGAATCATCCAAAAGAGGCATACCCCCCAAAAAAAAACCCAAAACAAACAAACATACAAACAAACCAAAAACAACAACCCAAAACAACCCAGGTGTTATACAGCACATGCACAACTTGGTTTTAGAAAAACTGTTAAAGGTTTTTAAAAAAATACACTCACGGTGAGACAGATGAACAAATGTCCTGAGGTGCTAGGAAGGGTCTTGTGAAGGTGAGTGGCTTTGTGACGCCCTCCAAGGTGCATATTCAGCGTCTACAGAAACATGTTTCATGATACATAATATCATTGAAAAGCTGTTCAACTATTCTAAGCCCAGAACACAACATTTTTCAGGGGCAGAAAAAAATGTTTCCCTTTTTTAGAAAATGTACAAACACAAGGCATTTTTTCTTTTTTTTTTTCTGACATTTAGAATTTAAACTTTAACAAAATAGTTCTCTAGAACATGCAACCAATACCACAAATTAAGAAACTACAATTCTAAAACATTCAACAATAAGTATAATAATCATGATAATAATAGTTGCTTTTATAGAGCATATAACAATTCTGTAGCATGCTCTATGTGCTTCCTAACTTTAATCATACAACACTTGCAGAAAATAGTGACTAATCACCAAAACAGATCTTTTGTTAGCAAATGGAATACAAATGGTTTTCATGGATTTTCATTACAAATTTGATCGAGGAATGGAGAAGACTATCTGATATACTGTGCACTGGACAATGCCATTTTTTGGCCAGTCATTTGATTTGACGATGTAGTTCATTTGACCGATGGACATCAATCCTAGGAAAAAATTATGTGTATTTTTAGTTGCCCACACTAATTTTAGGTTGGAAAGTGGTGAGGGAGTGTGTGTGTGAGTGTATACCTGTGTGCAAGTGTGTATATGCATATGAGTGTTTATGTGAGAGTATTTGTGGGTGTGAATTTGTGCGTGTGAGTTTGTGTACTTTCGAGCGTGAGCGCATGCTTATGTGCGTCTGTGCGAGTACATGCGTGTTTGCATGCGCAAGTGTGCATGTTTGAGCACACATGTAAGGTATCTATATGTCTGGGCCGGTGTACACATATTATGTATGTATGAGTGTGTGCAAATACGGTAGTCTCCGCCTAAGATCCCACCGCTTACGATCCCGGTTCGCTTAAGATCTTGCTGTTTTAAGAAAACCGAATATTTACTATACAAAAGTCATCCCTAGGATCCCGCTCTGATTCACTCTGAAGGTCTACATTCGGCTAAGATCCCGCATTTCAGATCATAATTTGCAGAACAAAAACACGGGTGGGACAGCCGATCAACCAAGAGTGAAAGGTTGAGATCAACAAACTGTCCGTCGCGTCAAAGATCAGCCACTATCGTGAAGGTGATCACATACATGTTGTAAAACTCGATGAAGCGATACAATGTTTGCCCTAGACGGGATCACACCGGGGTGTGAACTGACCGACACGTTTGTTTTCCCCGAACATCGCACTCACACCTGAGCTATCCCCCTAAACTTACATCACTCGCTGGGTGGGCAGGGCCAACACGTTCGCTCCAGGCGGGATCGCATCGAACTGTGAACTCTTCCCTGACCATTGCAGAAGTTGTCTCTACTCCCGAATTTGCGAGACAGACTGAATTTTAATTGGTGTGTTAACAACGTAATGGTGTGTAACGACAAAGGCGGTTTGGGGGGGGACTCGGTCAGAGATGGAAAGCTATAAATTTTCGACAGGGAAGGGGGAGGGGCAACTGGATAAGTGTAGATCTTGAGACTCATGTTAGGATAATAAGTGAAAATGGCACGCCTCATCCGACTTTGCACTGTGACAAGTCATCAAGGTTAACCACTCTTTGCTCGCCATACGTCATAAACCCACCAAGCGATCACGTCAGTTCATTTTAGAGTGGAAGGAGACCATTTTACCGATTGTGAGCCTTAGCATGGGTCACCATAGATTTTTCCCTGGGTTTGTCGGTTAAGATCCCAGTTCGCTTAAGATCCTGCATTTCCTTGTTCCAGAGCACCGGGATCTTAGGCAGAGACTACTGCATATCTTCTCAATCATAAAAGTGCCCACCTGCAAACCGTGTTCTATGGCACTGCGGAATGTGCTGTAGGACAGGGGGGTCACCGCGCCAGGCATCATCTCACTGGGGAAGGGGAGACAATCAGAATGTTTATCGACCTACAGTGAAAAACTCGTCTGAGATAGTCTTGCAAGAAAAGATGATACAATAAGTTCAATTTTTAAATGACTCTCTCTCTCTCTCTCTCATCTTTGTCATATTATTATTACTATTATAATTATCATCATTATAATATTATTATCATTATTATTCCCACTTTTATATATTTTTATCCTTATTATTACAAAGACTTCCTCTCTTTCTTTCTCTTTTATCATTGTTGCTGCTTTTGTTGTTGCAGTAGCTGTTGTTGTTGTTCTTCTTCTTCTTCTTCATCTCATTATCATTATTATCATTAATATTACTATTATTACTACAGTCGAACCTGTGTAAAACGGCCAACCATTGTCAAGGAGAAAAGTGGCAGTATAACACAGGTGGCCGTCTTAGGCAGGACTGATCAAAAAGAAGAAAGCAAATCATTCCCTTCTGTGGTCCAAATGGGCCTGATTTTAGGCTTTGGACTGCCGTATGGTGAATTCAAAAGGTTTTTTGGTTTTCTTTTGAAAAGGGGGGAAG